AACAGCACCCTGGTGATCTACACCTCCGACAACGGCATCCCCTTCCCCGGCGGCAGGACCAACCTGTACCGCTCGGGCAGCGCCGAGCCGCTGCTCCTCTCCTCCCCCGAGCACCCCCAGCGCTGGGGACAGGTCAGCCCGGCCTTCGCCACCCTCCTGGGTAAGAGCTGAGGGAGGGGCAGCACAGCTGTGCCTGGCAGGGTGGGCTGCTCCCCGTCCTGCCCCTGGGGCTGGCCCTGAGCCCTCAGCATTGGCAGGGCCAGTGCAGGGGAGGGAGCGGGGGGAGGACACAACTGGGTCCCCTGCAGGGACACCAGCCCTGGGGACCCTTCTGCCCCTCTCTGGGGCTGAGTTTCCTCCCACAGTGCCTGTCCCTCCTCTCACCCTTTTCCTCCCCTCCAGACCTGACACCGACCATTCTGGACTGGTTCTCCATCCCCTACCCTGCTTACAGCATCTTTGGCTCGAGGCAGGTGCAGCTCACTGGAAAGTCTCTCCTGCCAGCCCTGGAGTCTGAGCAGCCCTGGGCCACCGCCTTCAGCAGCCAGAGCCACCACGAGGTGACCATGTACTACCCCATGCGGGCCGTGCAGCACCGGCAGTTCCGCCTCATCCACAACCTCAACTACAAGATGCCCTTCCCCATCGACCAGGACTTGTACGTCTCGCCCACCTTCCAAGACCTGCTCAGGCGCAGCAGGGCGGGGCAGCCGACGCACTGGAACAAGAGCCTGCACCAGTACTACTACCGGGAGCGCTGGGAGCTCTTCGACTGCAGCCGTGACCCCAGCGAGAGCCAGAACCTGGCCCCCGACCCCCGCTACGCTGACCTCTTCCAGCTGCTCCGTGCGCGGCTCCTGAAGTGGCAGTGGGACACGGGGGACCCCTGGGTGTGCGCCCCCGATGCCGTCCTGGAGGAGAAACTGAGCCCGCGGTGCCGGCCGCTGCACAACGAGCTGTGAGTGCCACCTGTGCCTGGGACAGTCCTGTGCTCCCGTGGGGCGCCAGCGCTCGGGGCGGTGTCGCGGATGGGCTGGCCCCAAAGCCCGGGTGACACCGCCAGGCTCTGCCCCTGTGCTGCCAACACCGCCCGGCCCCAGAGCACCCAGGGGTTCCCGGGGCCTTGACTGTCAGCCAGAGGAGCCAAAGGGCCGAGCTGCCCCTCAATAAAGCCTCTGGAGGATGAGGTTCCATTTGCACCCTGCAGCAGCCCCCTGCTTGGAGCCAGGACAGGCCAAGGGCCTCTGTGGCACAGCCAGGGCTGCAGGAACAGCTGGGGACACCCAGCGCTCTGGGAAATGGGGTGAAGCCTTCAAGGGGCACAGGGGATCCCACTGGAGACCTCCAGGCAAGGACAGAGCCAGGGGCAGGGGGCTGAGCACATTCAGGAGCAGGAGAGGGGACAAGGACACAGCCTGGGGCTGCTCCCAGCAAACAGCAGCTTTATTCACAGTACTGCTCCCTCAGCTCCTGCACATCCCCCTCCCCAAAACCACAGCCAGGAAACTCCCTGCAGTCTCTGCCCCAGTTACCAGTCCCACAGGGTAACTGGTTTGCTGTCTCACAAGGCACTTGGGTCATTTTTCCCCTGATTTGATGATGATGATGATGATGAGGTTTTCCCTCTCCCTCTGCCAGTCCAGTGCACACCCCTCCATCACCACCCTGCAGCCAGAGGGAAAACAAGGCCCAGGAGCGTGGGAAGAGCAGGGGCAGCTCCAGGTACAAGGGATGGGGACGGATTTGGCCTCAGACTCCAGGGGAGCAGCATGGCCTCTCCCTGTGACCGACGCTGGCTCAGGACCAGGAGATCACAAACTGCTCCCACATGGGCAGTGACACAGGGACTCTGAGCACCTGAGGGGAGAAGGAGGGTGAGAGCTGGTCTGGGTGGAGCCCAGGGGTGTCAGAACCCAGGGGGCTCCTGCTCCGTGCAGAGCCACAGCCTGGCACAGTCCTGCTCCCACAGATCCCCCGGGAAGGGCACCCATGGCCCGTGCTGTGCCACCGCTGGGGCCAGACCCCTCTGCTGCGCTCTGGGTCCCTTCCCAGGTGGCACCAGGCACTCACCTGGGTGTCACTGCGGTAGGAGAAGTCGCTGACGATGGCACCGTTGGCCAGGACTCGCCGGGGAGGGCTGGTGACGCCCAGCACAGTGACAGCCTCCAGCAGGACCCCGTCGAGGTGGGGGCTGGCCCGCAGCAGCTGGCTGAGCACGGCGTCCTGGGGACAGCGGGGATGTCACCGCGTGCTCCCCGCTCTCAGCCGCCCCACGGGCACCCAGGGCTGCCCCTCGGAGCGTTCCCAGGTGTGCCAGGGCCAGCAGCAGCCCCTGCCCGGGTGCCCCCTGCCAGCAGCTCCCCGTGCTCACGTTTGAGGCCAGGAAGAGGATCTCGGTGTAGTCGCCCCTCTCAAAGGTCTCCCAGCTCTCCCCATCGTCCCAGAACAGGTCTCCCCTGGCGAAGCCGTCCGGGGTCAGCGCCACCACCAAGGCCATGCCCTTGCTGCGGGACTGGGCGGTGTTGAAGGCGGGCTCCTGGGCACGGGTGGGCACAGCTGGGGGCACTGCCCAGCCCTGTCCCCCAGCCCCACACTGCAGCTGGGGTGTGACACTGCTGCCGGCGCTGTGGCACCCCCAGGCCGCTTGGCAGGGTCACCGTGGTGGCACCACAGGGCACAGGGGACTCACCTGCAGGGGCAGGATGTGCCCTGCACGGACGTGGACGTTGATGGTGTCCAGGGGGGCTGGCAGGAGGATCCACTGCCCTTTGCTGTGGATGGTGGAGTCCTACACCGTGGATAAAGAGCAGGTACAGGGTGCCACGGGGCAGGGGGGCTCAGCCCAGCGCCAGAGCCCTCAAATGGCCACCAGCAAAGGCAGGTGAGGAACGAGACCCTCACACAGCCCCAGGGAGCTGGTGAGATGCAGCAACGTGCACAAGGAGCCTCAGCACAAGGAGCACCCACCCCTGCCAGGCTGTACCACGTCCCCGCTGGGAAGTAACCGCTGACTTTGGTCTGTCCTGCCTCCAGCACGGGGGTGACGAGCAGCCCCCCGCCCCACAGGAGCTGGCGGTCCACGGCCCAGCTGTTGGGGTCTGTGGGGAACCTGGGGAAGGAGGGGAGGGCAGCACCAGGAGACCCTGCTCTCCTCCCGCTGAGCCCCGGCGGGGCTGGCACTCACTCGAGGAACAGCGGCCGAGCCACGGTCTCGCCGGCGGTGTGAGCCCGGTGGAACAGGGTGTAGAGGAACGGCAGGAGCGAGTAGCGGAGGCGCAGGGCGCTCCTCATGGCAGCCTGGGCAGGAGGGCTGAAGGTGTAGGGCTCCTGTGGCTGTGGGGAGAGGCCCAAGGGGATGCTCGGCGCAGGTGGGGAGGAGCGGAGGGCGCATTTCAGGGATGCAGGATGGACTCTCCCCGCGCTGGAGACACACGGCCCCGCGGCTGGACCGGCCTTCCCACGCTGGCAGGGCAGCCCCCGGCGGGGTGAGGGCTCCCAGGGCTCACCCGGGTGCCGTGGTCGTTGTGGTTCCTCATGAAGGGGTAGAAGGCGCCCAGCTGGGTCCAGCGCACGCACAGCTCCTCGCTCGTGTCGCCCATGAAGCCGCAGATGTCGGCACCCACCATTGGCACCCCAAAGAGGTTGAAGAGCAGCACCTCTGCGGAGGGCACAGAGGGCATCGGGGCTGTGCAGCACCAGGGGATGGAGCCTATGGAGGAGCCCCCGGCTGCGGGGGAAGCTGGCACAGCCCCTGGCTGTGCCCCTCAGCCTACCTGGTATGGAGTAGTAGAGCTGCTCCCAGTCGCTGCCAACATCTCCTGTCCAGTGCCCGGCGTAGCGGCCGTGCCCAGCGAAGGTGGAGCGGGAGATGATGAAGGGGCGCTTGCCCCGGACCCTCAGCAGAGCACTGAGAGTGGGATGGGTCTGCTCAGCCTCCCCCGGCTGGGGAAGGGGCTCGGGGACCCCACAGTGCCACACAGCACACCTCAGCCAGCAGCCGGTGCCTGCCCAGGCTGGGTCTCCCCCGGGATGTGCAGGAGCTGTGGCAGAACCCCGAGCTTACTCGTGGGAGGCGATGGCCTCGCTCAGCCCGTACAGGCTGTGCAGGTTGTAGTGAGAGGACAGGTACTGCTGGCTGGAGGCACAGATGGTCCCGGCTTGCAGGCGTCCCCCAAATACACCTGCAGGGGAGAGGTGGAGCTCAGCATCCCCCGGGCTCCTCGGCTGCCCCCCAGCCCCGGGCAGGGCTGGAACCCGCCCCTGTACCCGGCACGTAGGGGGGATGCTCCAGGTTGTTGTTGGGGCAGCCGTGCTGGGAGCCCTCCACGAAGTTTGAGGGCTCGTTCATGTCCTGGGGAGAGGAGGAAAGGATGGCGTGACCTGGCTGCTGCACTGGGGGCCAGCAGAGGGGCAGGGCAGGAGCCAGGGCCAGCAGCTGGGCCACTCACAAGCCACATGCCATCGAAGGGCACTTGTTCGTGGAATTCCTTCACCATGTCGTGCCACCACTCGTGAGTGGCTGGGTTGGTGAAGTCCGGGAAGGCCGTGGGGCCCGGCCAGACCTGCAGGAGGGAGAGCATTGGGCAGAGCCCCCAGCCCCACACACCACCCCACCTTCCACCACGGCCCCCCAAACGTTTCTGTCCCGTTCTTGGGGTCCCACCCGAGCCCCGTCCCGTGGGCCCTGGGGCTGCTCCCCACATCACCTTCCCGATCAGGGGCTGCCCCGTGGCGTTCCGGATGAACACCCCCCGCTTCAGGCCCTCGTCGTACGGCTTGTAGGTGCCGGGGGGCCCCGAGCTGCTGATGCCAGCATCCTGCAAGGGCACAAAGCCAGGGCTTTACCAGCAACAGCAGGGAACGGCCAGCCCTGCCTACATCACCCCCCGTGGGCAGCTGGAGCCCAGTGCCAGCCTGCCCGTGTAACTCACCACGATCATGATGTACCTCAGCCCGCGGCTGTGGAAGTCCCGCACCATCTCCGGGTAGTCCTTAAAGCTTTTCTTGTTGAAGGTGAAATCCCTCTTGGCATCTGCATAATCCAGGTCGTTCCACTGCACATCCTGTGGATGGAGGCGGCGGTGCTTTGGGACCCCCAGCAGCCCCCCCCAGCCGCTGGGCCAGAGGCTCCAGAGCAGCCCAGACCTACCAGGGGGAAGCGAGCTGCTGTCATGTTGGCCACGACCTGCCGGGTGATGGCGGTGGAGGAGTAGCCCCAGCGGCACAGGTGGAAGCCCAGGCCCCAGTACGGGGGCATGAAGGGGAACCCTGCAGGGTGGAGGGTGGGCGCTGGCAGGGATGGCCCAGCCTTGTGCCACCCCACAGTCCTGCTCTGCCACACGGCTCACACAGCCTGCAGAGCCACCCTGGCACAGCCACCCTGGCACAGCCACCCTGCAGAGCCACCCTGGCACAACCACCCTGGTACAGGCACCCTGCAGAGCCACCCTGGCACAGCCACCCTGCACAGCCACCCTGCACAGCCACCCTGGCACAGCCACCCCGGCACAGCCACCCCGGCACAGCCACCCTGGCACTGCCACCCTGGCACAGCCACCCCGGCACAGCCACCCTGGCACTGCCACCCCGGCACAGCCACCCTGGCACT